TCAGTATAGAGGTGGGACTCAAAATCGGAAAAGTGTTCAAAAAAGTGAAGGACGTGGTTATCGGAAATTCCAGCTCTCACTCAGGCAGATGCATTAAACTTCTAGTGACTCTCAACCTAGAGGAACCAGTTCTGAGATGCTCAACTATCATGCTCAAAGACAAAATCCAGCAAGTTAATTTCAAGTACGAGAAACTAATTAATCTATGCTACTACTGTGGCATGATTGGCCACCTTGACCGTTCCTGCAAATCCAGAGCTAAAGACATTGAACAAGGTAATCCTCAAACGGGTCAGTTCGGCGATTGGCTTAAAACCTCTGAATCCCCTATTATCAGATCTAAAACTGCCCCTTCACCAGAACCTACTGAGAATACTTACCATACTCACTCCCCATCACCACATAACTCAAACACCCTCTCTCCTGCTTCTTGTAGTGCCTCTAAAGCTTCTATTAGTGGGCACCATCTAAATAACTCCAATCCCTCTCTATCTAAAATCCCAGAAACAGCCACCCCTTCTCCTCCACTTCCGAAGAAACTCCCCCTTTCTGTCCCTGTTATCCCAGACCATCTCGATCACCCGGTCATCACCTCATCTCTCCTTCTCTCCAATCAAGACGATGACCTGCAACCACCAGTTCCCACACCACCTCTTTTCATCACCAACCATAATTCAGACCTAAACCCGCCAGTTTCCACACCAACCCTCCTCCTCACTAATCAAGAGACAACCTTTCTCTTACCTGCCTCCCCCAACCAGTTAACCACCAACATGAATCTTGAACACCTCCCCCTGATATCCCTTGTGGCAGAATCTAGTAATGGGAAGCAACAGAAAAAATGGGTGAGGAAAACCAAATCTCCTCAACAGTCCAACCCTCAATCAACAGCAACCCTCAAATTAAGAGGACCTCGAGCAAATAAAAGGGGAAGACTCCTCTCAGAAAGCACTGAAGCATCTATCCCTCATCAAGAAGCCATCACTCATAGCCAGAAAAAGCAAAAGCGCATTAAAGCCAATGAAGAAGAAAAACAGGTGGAGGCAGCCAGCCTAGAGTGGCTCCCAACCCCCAAATGAAGACATGGGTGTGGAACTGTAGAGGTCTGGGAGGACCCTCTACGGTTTCCCAACTCAAGGAGGCTTTAAAGCTCCACCTCCCCTGGTTTGCTTTTGTTAATGAGACTAGGCAAACTAGTCATTTTGTTCTCTCTGTCTGTAGAAAATTGGGCTATGAAAGCAGGAACCTGATTGTTGATCCCATTGGTAAAAGTGGAGGACTTCTCCTTCTATGGGATAAGGACATCACCATCCACAAATCTGTTACCAGCAAGTTCTGTATGGAAATAGAATTCAGCCATGTTTTGAACTCAAACAAATACTGGATTATTTTTGTTTACCTAAGCACAGACCCTCGAGAAAGAGAAGCCCAAAGAAATTACTTGGAACAAGCTAAGTGCAACTGGGGAACTACATGGCTAATTGGAGGAGATTGGAACGACATATGCAGTAATGAAGAGAAACAAGGGGGCAGGACAAGGTCAAATGCTAGCTTCTGGGGCTTCAAAAACTTCATAGCCAACATGTGCATGCAAGAGATTCCAATGACCGGACACCCTTTTACCTGGTGGAATTGCAGAATGAACATTGAATGTGTGGAGGAGAAGCTTGATAAGTTCTTTGCCTCTCTGGATTGGCTCACCATATTTCCAAATGCTGTGGCAAAAAATTTCTATCAAAGCTCCTCCGACCATAGCCTTATTGCCCTCCACACTGGAAATGGCTCGTTGGCTTGAAAAAAACGGAGTTAATGATACCATCATGACGGCCTGGAGCTGGTTCCACCAGGGTAACCCCATGCTTCAATTCCAAAGGAAGATTGCAACCACCAGAGTCGCCCTCTTAAAGTGGAGTAGCCGGTTTAAATCAGAAAATGAAAAGCAGCTTCAAGTGGCCACAAAACAAATGGAAGAGCTTAGATCAATGGGAAGTAGCAGAGACTGGAGCAAGTGGAACTCACTAAAGCAAAAAATTGATCTTCTTCACAAATCCGAAGAATCTCACTGGAAACAAAAGTCAAGACTTCAGTGGCTCAAGGAAGGCGATAAAAACACTCGTTTTTTCCACGCCTACACCACACAGAGAAGGAAATCAAACGCAATCAGCAGACTAATCCGAGGAGATAACACAGTTTGCGAGACTAATGCTGCCATTGAAAATTGCATCTTTGAATTCTATAACCGGCTTTTCACCTCAGAATCCAATCAGTCAACACATATAAACCCCCTTCTGGAGTGTATTCAACCTGCCATCACCGAAAGAATGAACTCGAGACTTTTGGCAAATGTTGAAGAAGAAGAAATCAAAAGAGTTCTGGACAGCATGAATCCTAGCAAAGCTCCGGGGCATGACGGTATGTCTCCACTCTTTTTTCAAAAATTTTGGCATGTTATTAAAGATGATCTTTGTCGAGCCATTTTTAGTTTTTTCTCCTCTGGCACTATTTCTCAAACTTAGAACCATACCCTTCTTACCCTAATTCCCAAAACCCTGCACCCTTCTAGAGTTGATCACTTCCGGCCTATAAGCTTATGTTGTGTAACTTACAAGATAATTTCAAAAATTCTAGCCTCTAGACTAAAAAATTGTCTTTCAGTTTGCATCAGTGATAACCAAACGGCTTTTATACCTAATAGACAGCTTTTAGATAATGTTGTCATCGCTCAAGAAGCCATCCATTACTTGAACAGGCATAGAACAGGTTCTAATTGCTTTATGGCTATTAAGCTCGATATGGAAAAAGCTTTTGATAGAATTGAATGGTCTTGTATTAAATCCATAATGACTAGAATGGGGTTTCACCTGAAATTTATAAATTGGATTATGGCTTGTATTTCATCCTCCAGCTTTTCTTTTAATATAAATGGCCAAAAAAGAGGTTTTGTTAACCCATCTCGTGGGCTGAGACAAGGCGACCCAATGTCACCATACTTGTTTATCATTGTCTCTGAATTACTCTCATGCTTGCTGAATAACTCAATCATTCAAGGATCTTTATCTGGGCTTAAACTCTCTCAAACAAGCCCTGTTCTTTCTCACTTATTCTTTGCCGACGACACAATGATCTTTTGTCAAGCTTCCCCCCAACAAGCTCTTGAAATTCTGAACATCTTGCATAATTATCAACTTTGCTCAGGCCAGAAAATAAACCTTCCCAAATCCTCTATATTCTTTAGCAAAAACACACCCACTTCAGTTCAAATGGAGATTTGTAGATTATTTAATGGAATTCAGATAAAAGCCTCCAAAAGATACCTGGGCCTTCCCTTGGGAATTGGCCGGTCTAAAAAAGAAACCTTTAATTTTGTTATTGAAGCTGTCAAAAACAAGATTTTAAACTGGAAATGCAAGTTCTTATCCACTGCAGGGAAAGAAGTTCTCATAAAGTCGGTTCTGAGTGCATTGCCCAACTTTGTGATGTCCTGTTTTCTCCTTCCTGCTGGTGTATGCTCTGAAATTTCAAAACTGATATCCAAGTTCTGGTGGTCAAAAGGTGGTAATCAGGAAGATGGTATACATTGGAAACAGTGGAACCATCTTACTCTCTCTACAGCTCAAGGTGGCTTGGGGTTCACTGACCTCAAATTGTTCAACAAATCTTTAATTATCAAACAGCTGTGGAGAATCTACACCAAACCAACATTACTTGTGAGCAGAATTCTAAAGCAGAGGTACTTTCCTAGCAGCTCCTTCCTGGAAACTCAACCTCCTCAAAACTGCTCATGGCTTTGGAGGAGTTGGATGACAGTACGGCCACTACTGGAGCAAGGACTGTTTGTAAAGATAAAAGATGGCAAGGGCACAAAGATTTGGGATCACCCCTGGATTCCAACAATCCCTACTCACAAACCCTGCAAAAGCATTGCAACAGCTGGCTACAGGCTTTCCAGAGTCTCAGATCTTCTGCTCCCAAACTCAGATGAATGGAATGAATCCCTTCTAAAGCAACTCTTCACAGCAACTGAGTATGAGGCAATCTTAAAAATATCCACTGTGGACAGGACTCAAAAAGACAGGCCGATTTGGAATCTCAACAAAAAAGGTCACTTCTCTGTGGCATCTTCCTATGAAGCCCTCTTACACAGCAAACTCTTGAGTCTGGACCTTCCTGAATCAAGCAGCCAATCATCTTGGATCACACAGGTCAGAAACATCAGTTGGAAGCTAAAGATCAAGAAGAAAATTAAACACTTCATATGGAAGTGCTTCTCAGGGATTCTCCCTTCACAGAGAAACCTTTGCAAAAGAGGGCTGAAAATTGATAGCATTTGTAAGGCATGTGGAGAAACAGAGGAAACTTCTGAGCACATCTTTTTCAACTGCCCAAGAGCAAAAAACACCTGGAAGCATGCACCTGTTCTGTGGGCTAACTTACAACAAGATGTCCATAGCTTCAAATTTTGGTGGGCAGATGTGTGTCTGATGCATAATCACAAAGCTGCACAAGACAGGATCCAATTAACCACATATATTCTATGGTGGTTATGGAAATCTCGGAACTTGTGGGTGTTTAAAAATCAGTGGCAGCCAGAGATTGCAGTGGTTCAAGCTGCATCCTCAGAATGGCTGGAATTCTCTAATGTGGCTTAATTTGGTTTAGTTTGTTGTGTCATGCTAGCTAGGTGTTATCACAGTTGCTAGGTTGTCATTCTTTTGTCTTATGGTCTAGCCCAGGGCTCCAGTATCCTATACTGCCTAATGGCTGACTATTCGACCCTCATTCTCTTCTAGTTCTCCTCTCTTTGTGTTTAGTGTCTGTGTGGTCTGTGCCAGTTATTGGTTAGTTTCTGATGTTCAAACTTTGTACATTTCTCGGTTATTATTAATGCAATTCTTCGTTTCGAAAAAAAAAATATTAATAGATTTTGATCCATATAAATCTAATTTAAATCAAATAGCTATGAACACCGACCCGATGCTCTGATACCACTGTTGGATTTTAAACCGCTCCGACCAACAATGGCGGATAATTCCTGAGAAAGCGAGTTTGGGAGGATGATTTTGAGTCCGCCAGGTTTGTATTCTAAATTATGATTTTAGTTTAAACATGAATTCCGCCAGTTAATTTACTTTTGTTTTAGGGAGAAGAAACAGAAAATGATGTTAATCAAGGAAAAGGAAATGGCGAATAATCTGAGGAAGCGAGCTTGCGATGATGATTTTGAGTCCGTCGGGTTTGTATTCTATTTGTTATTTTAGGGAGAAGAAACGGAAAACGACGTTAATTAAGGAAAGGACAGTTGATGATGAGAGAGATACTATATTCAGGTGAGAGTTATTATGAGAAATTGGACAAATAATCGATTTATCATCTGGTTTTTATGGAATTTTGTGCAATTCTTTGAAACTGTGCTGGGAGCTTGTTCATATTTATAGCATGCCAGCTGTTTCTTTCTTTTCTGTCTTATTGTTGTGTAGTATATTTGTTGGTTTATTTGTCTGATTTTCTCTGTTTGTTAGGTTCTTTGGGCAGTTCTCTTAGTTTTTGCTTAGGTTTATGGCCTTTACTGTAGAGATATTACTAGACCTGAAGATATTACTCCCTGCTCACATTAATATGGTAGCTAACTTATGCCTTTATTGTTTGTAAGACTAGCAGCATTCTAAAAAAGAAAAGAAAGAAAAGAAAATCGAGATTTGAAGTTTTACAGCATATAAGATTGTTAGTATCTCTTCCCCAGATTGGATTTGCCAATGCTTTGGGTTCTTTTCTGAGAAAGCTGCCAGGAACTGGATTAAGCCAAAAAATAATGTGAATGATGTTAGTGAGAGCTTTGCTGGATACTTCTTCACTATAGGAGCCTGCATTTTAAAATTACAAGTGTCATAAGTCGGATAGTTTAACTTGTAATATTGGCAGCATTGGATCATGCACGTACATGCTTGAATTCAAGCTTTGTTGGTTGATTACTAGATTTGCTGCCACCAGAAATTATGCTTGTTAACTCGGGTGGTTCAGTTCGCATAGCAAAGAACCTTTTTTGAATGCTTCTTAATACCTTCAGACAAATATCTTACTACTATTCATTGTAGAGGCTCTTCAGATTAAGGAGATCCCAAGATATTAGTAAATCCTGAAGTTCGATAACCTAAGACCAATGGACAAATTCACTTGACGTGATTCACTAATATATTATGCCGTTGATGTTAAGTGTGTGGAAAAAAGTTATTACTATCAGCCCACCTGAAGGACCATCCATCCAGCCTAGGAAAAGCAGTGACCTTGGAGAAATATACAACCCCATGTCCAGTTCTGAACTTTGTTTGATGGCATGACCACACCCTCTTCAAATGAATTACTTGTCTCTGATGCCTTGTTTAGTATGGACGGACCTTTGTACAATGTAATAATTGTTGCACCTTCTACACTTTCTGGAGTCCCTAGGATTTTCGCCAATCCATCTATTCTTGCAATGTTCACTTGCTCCAGCCTGGAAAGGCGAGAAAAGGAAAAAAAAAAGAAAAAAAAAAGCACCGTATGGAATAAAGATTAGTTGCCAATGTTGTTGTTTTGAGAAAACAAGTATTTCGCTCCCTACCTTAGAGCCGAAGCCATAATGAAAATAGTTGCAGGCATTGAGTTCTGCATTGCTGATGCAAAAGTTGGAGATGTGCCTAAAATGTAGAAACCCTGGTTTGCAGCAATTCTGGAAATTAAGACAGAGATACAGTCAAGGAAAGATAAAAGTAAAACCAACTCAGTTATTATGGATTTATCTCAGTTCCTTATCCCACTAATGCTAGAAGGAAAAACTGGGCTAATAAAGAGAATGTTAGAGACTTTTCTATGAAATAGGTGAAGGGTCCCAACAGTAGTAGTGCGATGATATTTCTGTAAACAGGGTACACTACTTTGCTAACACCAATGTTAAAAGCGCAACTCTGGAGACAACGTGAAATCCTACAAAGCATAGTTGCAGAATGAGCAATGAAATTACAAGTTTCACCCTCTCTCTATTGATTTTTTCTTGAGCCACACTTAACTGATTGTTACTTCTTACTGCAGCCGAGTTCTTACAAAGAAGATTTTATTTGAAGTTAATTGGAAAATATAGGCTCCTAAATGAATTGAGAAGTAATGTTGTAGGTTTGGTGATTCAATCTCATGCCTTCTTACTTGTGTTGCCAGAGATAAGTTTAGAGAGAAAAATTATTTCTGATAGAGCTATGTTATTTTTGTAATTATGACACGCGCTGCTTTTTTTGGGTGCGACAAGTGATATAGGTTTTTGGATAGCGATATTAATACTTGTTAGCAGTGTGAGTTCAGTTGAAAACAGAACTTCAGAAAGCATGATATGTTTAAAGCTCTAGTCCTTATACTTGTCTGATTATTATTATGGCTCGTGTTTCTTCTTTTTTAAACATTTTTTCTCACTAAAATTTGACAGGCAGAGCTCTGCCAAGGGAGTTTCAAAGAGCACGGAAAAGGTCCTCTAACAGATTCAATGAAAGACAACTGGTTCTATCTAGTAATGTTGTATACTTTTGCTGCTTAAGGCTAACTATTTGTGTTTGCTTGTTTGAAAATTTATTGAAGACTGAAGCTCCCAAGTTTCAAGAACTTTTTGAGGGGTTCTCCATACAAGGTAATCATCCCATATCCTGTTGTTCAATTCATCCATGATGAGCTTTTTTTTCCAATCAACACCACAAAGTTGAAAGTATTTGTATCCTGCTTGAATATCTCTGTCCAAAAACTATATCCAGAGATCAGATATCATTGGATAAAATGCATGTAAGGGTATTTGAAGGAAATGTCATGTTTGTTTACTTCCAGACAAGTAGTTTATATATTAAAAGAAAGCAATGTCATGAGTTTAGGAGAACATTTTTCTTTCTTTCAAATTAAAACTATATTTTGTTTTAAGATAATCTATTGTTTATTCATTGGGGAACTGTAGCCGGCCATGAGCAAGTGTCACGAATTACACGACTGGTTTCTGCTATTGGTTCACGATACATTGCAACAGTCACATCTTATCCTTTGTGGACATGTGGTGGTACTTCTACTTCTTATCATGCGGGGCCACATGGTACTCGGAAACGTGCACGTAATTCCACTTCTTATCCTGTGAGTACATCGAGGATAGCTGGTTCTCAGAAGCGCGCTCGTGCTTCCACTTATCCTGGGGAAAAATCTGCTCTTGCTTTGAGGCAAAGAAAGGTAATATTCTCTCTCTCACTTAGCTTATCCCAAAAAAAAAAAAAAAAAAAAAAAAAAAAAAAAAAAAAGAACTTACATGCATTACTGTGTCCATTATAGACAAGAATACAGAGTAGGACCTCTTCTCAAGCTAATATGCCAATGGCTGCGTGCTTTTGACCTTTGGAAACAAGATGACCCCCGAATTCAGAATTGGAATTTCAATGCAGCCCCCGACTCAGCTTTGTCCTTCAGGATTCACTCCATTCTGAAAAGAGGTGCCCGAGCTGTGGGCCACAACCCTTCATACAGGCAAGTGGAACGCTTTTGTAGGTTGCTGAGTGCAGAGTTGATGCAACAACTGCATTATTATATGCCAAATTTGAACTATAAGTTTGGTCCATATAATGAAGACTTCAAAAGAGAGAAGGACAAGAAGAGTTGGTGTTACTCGTACCGGAAACATGGAGGTCCTACTGGTATGTCACCTCGTGAGTATTTCTCTGTGGCTATCCAAGTATTCAGAGAAAGAGTGTCCACCGTAATACAATTAGCAGGTAAAGTTTACAAATAAAATTTCACTTTTTTCAACTGTGAAATATAATTCTATGTAGTGAACATATCTTATTTTATTTGCAGGGATGGGTCTCACCTTGGGAGACCCATTGGATCTGTCGCCGCTGGTCTGAACTTTTCCTATGTTAACGAAATTCAACTGATACGGCTCCAGCATGATGGGCGTGTTATACTGTTCAGTATGTCTGTGCTGATGAGAATTCGACGCTGGGCTCCTACTTTTGAGGCAAGGCCCCGCACATGGAGACCAAATATGGTTGAGGGGATGTCAGGGTGCAAGAGATTTTTTCTTACCCGATTAGCATAATAATTGTGTGATAAGCTGATCTTTTTTAGGGTATTATGCAAATCCTAGCAACATTTAGGTAGCTGTCCATGCCACTGTGCAAAGAGTTCTTTACTGCATTTCCTCTGGTTGAACCTAAAGTTTGTGTGTAGTTTGCTTTGTCTTAGTTTGTCTCATTTTTCACTCTATTCTCTTTCCTGGTTTCTTTCATTTTGCAGAACAAGGGAATTAAAGCTAGACATGTGTGTTTTGGTCTGTTTTGTGTAACCAAAACAGACATGTCTAGCTTTAATTCCCTTGTTCTCCAAAACCAGAATAGAAAAAAATCAGGAAAGAGAATAGAGTGAAAAATGAGATAAACTAAGACAAAGCAAACTACACACAAACTTTAGGTTCAACCAGAGGAAATGCAGTAAAGAACTCTTTGCACAGTGGCATGGACAGCCACCTGAATGTTGCTAGGATTTGCATAATACCCTAAAAGATCAGCTTGTCACACAATTGTTATTATGCTAATGGGGTAAGAAAAAATCTCTTGCACCCTGACATCCCCTCACAACCATATTTGTTCTCCATGTGCGGGGCCTTGCCTCAAAAGTAGGAGTCCAGCGTCGAATTCTCATCAGCACAGACATACTGAACAGTATAACACGCCAATCATGTTGAAGCCGTATCAGTTGAATTTCGTTGACATAGGAAAAGTTCAGATCAGCGGCGACACAATCCAATGGGTCTCCCAAAGTGAGACCCATCCCTGCAAATAAAATAAGATATGTTCACTGCATAGAATTATATTTCACAGTTGAAAAAAGTGAAATTTTATTTGTAAACTTTACCTGCTTATTGTATTACGGTGGGTACTCTGTCTCTAAATACTTGGATAGCCACAGAGAAATACTCACGAGGTGACATACCAGTAGGATATCCATGTTTCTCGTACGAGTACCACCAATTCCTCTTGTCCTGCTTTCTTTTAAAGTATTCAGTATATGGCCCAAACTTATAATTCAAGTTGGGCATGTAATACTGCAGTTGTTGCATCAACTCTGCACTCAGCAACCTGCAAAATTCTACCACTTCCCCGGGATAAGGTTCCTCAATTTGCACAGCTCGGGCACCTATTTTCACAATGGTGTGAATCCTGAAGGACAAAGCTGAGTCGGGGGCTGCATTGAAATTCCAATTCTGAATTCGGGGGTCATCTTGTTTCCAAAGGTTAAAAGCACACGCCCATTGGCATATGAGCTTGAGAAGAGGTCCTACCCGTATTCTTGTCTATAATGGACACAGGAATGCATGTAAGTTTAGTTTTTTTTTTTTTTTTGGGATAAGCTAAGTGAGAGAGAGAATATTACCTTTCTTTTCCTCGAAGCAAGAGCAAATTTTCCCCCAGGATAAGTGGAAGCCCGAGCACGCTTCTGAGAACCAGCTATCCTCGATGTACTCGCAGGATAAGAAGGGGAATTACGTGCTCGCTTCCGAGTACCAGGTGTTCCCGCATGATAAGAAGTAGAAGCACCACCACAAGTCCACAAAGGATAAGAAGTCGCAGTTGCAATGTATCTTGAACCAATAGCAGAAGCCAGTCGTGTAATTTGTGACACTTGGTCATAGCCACCTATAGTTCCCCAATGAATAAACAATAGTTTATCTTACAAGTAGCAATGCCATGACTATCAGATCATATCAAGGCATCAAATGAAAAATGAATTGCTATCAAACTTGCAGAATAATGTTTAGGCCGCGAGTCACGTGATGATGAATAATATATACATTTTTTTTTTTTTTGGTGAAATTGGTTAGCATTTTAATTGCTAAGCGAGTCGAGCACCATTCTTTTATTAAAAAAATATTTATATCATAAAATATTTAATAATCTGGTTTTTGTAAGTGTATTTCAGATAACCAGGGCTCTTTATCTTTGCAGTTTTTATGTTTTTGAGTGCCTTACCACATGAAAATTTACAAGGGGTTGCTTGTATTATGGTTCATATCATCATATGTTTGTATTTGTACTGGAAATTCGACAAATTGTTTTGTTGCCTTATGATACACATAATAGTTACCTAAGTTATACATGCGATAAAATCACGATATGAATATTATTTAGTTTAGATTTATTCATTTATTTGAGAATGTTGAAATTTCTGCCAGTTTTTACTACTTTATAGATTCTGTGTGTAGCATCATGTCATCAGAGCTTATAATAGAATGATCAACTGATGAGTTTTAAGGTGTTCGTGCATATCCAAACTTTACACGAGAACACATTTTGTTAACAATGTCAGTGACTCGGTACCCTTTAGCTGATTGATCAATTATTTCAGCATGAATTTTAGTAGCAAGATTCTGAAATTCCAACAACACTTTCTCAAATCACTGTATTTTTATTTCATATTAATTTATCTCAAATCTATTCAACTTTTTTCAGAAACCAAATTCTTCACACTTTTTCACATTTTTTTTAAAGTAAAATAAAATCTTATATCCAATCGCGCAAAAACTGCTCGAAAATTACTCAAAAGATAACTTCCAAAAATTGGAATACAATTGCATAAATCTTTCTTCATGCAAGTAACAAAAATTTTCAGCCAAATTAAGAAACTGACATTCATGCAAGTAACATATATATCAATGTTTGCACATGACGTGAGGAGGTTGACAATCTTCAGTCAAACAAAGATCAGTAGCTACATTATTCAAAACAATTAAACAAATATACCAACATTTGCACAATGAATAATGAAAAACAAAAACATTCATAGTTCAGCTACCTAAAATACAAGAAAACAAACAGCAACAAAGAAAACAAAAGGAAAAAAAAAATATCATGTTGAGACCACAGGAAACTGTCTATAAAAAAAGAGGAGCACCGTACACAACATAACCGTGAACTCGATTGACGAAGATCAAGTCTTTTCAAATTATTTCATGTCATGCCTCAAAACAGACAAAAAAATCGACAGTCAAAATCGATTAGCCGCACTTATTTCTTCAAGACACTCTCTAGTTGTAGAAGAGCCTGCCAATGCGTACGTGAGAATGTAAATTAGCCGCATTTATTTCTCAAACAACTTAAAAGGTTAGAGACAGAATGAATTATATGGAGTTATAATGTTTGTAGTTGGAGTAAGACTGCATACATCCTCAAATCCAAGTTTAGCTGCAAGATCTATAACAAGATAAATCGAAGTATTAATTTTATTTCAAGCCAGAACACAGTCGAGTGAGAAGAAGATAATAAAAAATATACGTAGCATATGTCACGGAGAAAACATCGAAAAAAAGAAAAGAAAAAAAGTGTATTGAAATCATACTTTGAAGAGAAACTCTAACATCCGCATTCGCATATGCTTCGCCCCTCTCTTCATAAAGGGCAGATAACCGCTTCATAGTCTAGACAAACCCCAAATCATACCAAGAAAACTAAAATTAATTAATAAAACGCAACTGCAAATGAGCATTTGAAAATCTAAATGCTAATTAAGGAGAATTATCACTGAAACTTCAATCTAACACTACTCCTCAACATTTATCCCATTTCACAAACACAAACACAAACCTCAAACAGATTATTTGTCATGCCTAAGATAGCAATTTCGATTTTGAAAGATAGGGCCTTTTCTTTTTCTTTTTGCAATTAGGCTAACGGTTAGGCCGTCTCACACAATAATTTCTTTGAAGAACCGTTTGCCAAAATTTGAAGTAGGAATCTTTTCTGGAGAATGGCATTATATGATGTTTGGTTAAAAGTTAATTTTGCCCCTATTTTTATTTAAAAATGTAATCAATCATTACTAAACAATTATATTACAATCCTTTTGCAGGCTCGGCTTGCCTTTTGCAAGTTTATGGTTAAACCATCGAATCTTCTTGTTCTGGATGAGCCAACCAATCGTTTGGACATACCCACGAAAGAAATGCTTGAGGACTTGAGGTTTAATTTCTGATATATATTTTTTTCTTTTTTCTCTTCCTTCTTTGTATCCCTTACACAGTACTGCTTCTTAACAATTCTTGTCATTGTTTTGTTTATTTGTGATTGTTAGGAGGCGCTAAATGAGTACCAAGGGACTGTTATCACAGTTTCTCATGACAGATTCTTCATAAAGCAAATTGTTAATCGGGTTTTGGAAGTGAAAGACGGGGTTCTTCAGGACTATTCTGGAGATTACGATGTAAGTCGAGCTCTTCTGCACTTGGATGTGGGATATTTTCATTTTCATTTCATTTCATTTCACAAACTTTTGTTCCAAGATATAACCTTTTTTCAAAAAAATATACAAATTGTTTCTCTTCCCAATTAAAAAAAGCAAATCATTACTGCACATATCCATGCAAATCATTTTCAAATTTCCATCATCATTTTATTATTTGTATTTCAATCATCATAACATATGATTGTGAAGTACAGAGCTTCACTATTTTTCGTGTAACAGTTTCGTCATCATAACATATGATTGTGAAGTAATCTATAGTTATAAAGGTTGTTATTCTTCTTTTTTATTAGTATTTCCTCATGTAAATAACTAATTATGATAAAAAGATATTTATTTATTAATTAATGAGTAGGTCAGAGCCAAAACATCTTCGCACTTGTGGTGGTAAAAAAACCAGGTGCGTGTACAATTAAACTGTCAAACAAAAATTAATAATTATAAAAACTTAATTATTACTCAAATAGTCTGCCAATTATATTGTTTTTTATTATCCATTTATCAGCTGTCAAGAACACTCGTTCATTAAAGTACGTACGGAAAAACTGAAACAAGTAAATTCTCGTGAATCAACTATTTCATTGGACTTCGAGTATGTAATAAGTAATAACAATAAGTGAATCAACTATTTCATTGGTCTTCGAGTATGTAATAACAATAATACTTATTTTGCCTAGAGATGTAATTAATAACATAGATTTTGTGCCACTTGGCCTAAAGCCAGGCTTAAATTTTCAATCCTATTTTTTCTTGTGAATGATAGGAGCATAGAAAACTGCTGATGGACTTGTTTTGACAATCTTGCCCTTGCCGGTGCCGGAATTTTGCTGCTTGGGGTCCGATTTTTCGACCTTGACTAGAGAAACTTGCCGTGGAGGATTATCTCCGGCACCGCCAGCTGTGGTGGCGGCAGCCACCAATTGGTGGAGGGGAAACAAGAAATCCGTCCGGAAGAACTTGTACTGAAGTCCAGCCATGAAATATTGATCAAGTTTAATTAGAAGAGAATTGAGAATGGCAAATAGGATTTATAAAGAAAATAACTGATTTTCTTTTGGCCCTTTGGTTTGGTTGGTTTATTACAAATGAGCTACCCTTTCATGTATTTACTATTTATAGAGCCAACAAGATTGCATTTGGTGGCATCTTCAACCAACAAATATCTAAAGTTTAGTGTGTAAATACACTGGAATTTGGATCGTCAGATTACGTATTAAAAAATTAATGAAAAATGCAAACGTATAAAGAAAATCAAAATAAGTATAGAAATATGTGACTTTTCAACTTTCAAGGGAATTTTGCCCTACTCACTCTTAAGTGGAGTTTGAGCCATCAGTTACACGCATACAAATTTTATTTCCATTTTTTGTTTATTTTTTACTCTAAAATTATTGGTATTGATGCTATCATCAAAAACGGTTGGTTAGAAGTCGACCTATCATCAACTCTTCAATAAGATAACAATTACAATAACGATTAGTTAGAAGATTGAGAGTGGTAAATACATTTTAATATATATATTTTTTAAAAAAAAAAATAGGTAAGTGAAATGAGCTACGATAACTTAGGTAACTTTCATATATTTCAAGATAAAATATTACCATTTAACAATATCATATTGTTTTAACTAACATCTATCATTATAAGAGATAAGGTTCAAACTGAAACTGGAATCTGAACCTTCGTCTTGTTCTGTTTCAAGGGAACTGAGTCCCTCGAACCGGCCGTTTCAAACCACAACCAATGGCCATGTCTAGTTGCAGACCAATGAGGGGAAAAAGACAACATGAGAAAAAGAAATTCTACCATTCATCATCCTGAAACTTCCAGATTCGCAACGTCCAATTATATTAGCAGAAACAGTTCACGCTGACTCAAAAACATAATCCAATCAGCGTATTGCTCAATCAAGCAAAGCAGCGAAAAGCATTCGGAGAAACAAAGTGCAGTAACATAGCAATGGATACAATCTCAAAGGTGACATTCTTAAACAATTACAAACGTCATATAGTTCAAATTTTAACATAAGATCAATAGTCCCTATTACTGGGAATTAAGAGAATCGTGTCCCGCCACAAACAGGTTCTCATTCCTGCACAAGAGACGCAATATTCAGCACGAAACAGGTCAAATTATTATCAGTAAACTACATAAATCAACTTTTCAAAAGTACAGATACCCTTTTTTAAGATATCACACACTCATTCAGATAAAAACCACCTCTTCTTGTCAACGGCGGGAGTTCGTAAATCGTAAGACATGTACATGTATAAGAAGGTGGTCTAAATTTCGAAAAATAACTATATCGTAGACACCATTAGAGTTTAGATATTGATAGAACATAAGCCATCACAAGCAAAATGTATAATCATCAACATACCTCATCATCATCATCATCACCTCCATCTTCCTTCTTCTTCTTAAGCACGGTTTTCCCTCCTTCCTTAGAAATCGGCAGTTTCATCTCCCCAAAAGGCGTGTCCACATGAATATTCCCCTTCATAGAATAGCCCGTCCCCCTCCCTCTAATCATATCCCAAAGCGCCGAACCACAGTCCTTAGGCCTAAACGTGATTGGAACATCAATATAACTAACTCCATTCTTCTCAATCTTAGCCGACTTTTTTAGGTCCGCCCCACCTATGCTGACATCACAAAGCCACACCTCATAGTCAAGGTCATTCAATCCCATATCGAAATCGTTCTTATTCTCCAGCCTCAGATGGAGGGTGGCCACAGTCTCCTCGAACGAGAACTTCTCGAAATGTATCTTCTCAACATCGATATCAGGCTTGTAAGGTATCGGGATCTCGCCCGTTTTCTCGAGCGGCAAGGTGAGTCGGCCGAAAACCGGGACATCCACAATCAAGTCAACTTTGACTCTATACGGGATAATGCTCCCGGGCTTTATGTCATCATAAGTGTTCTTGATGTCATCGTAAATTAAAGAAACGGGAATTTTCACGGTTTCCGAGCCGTGCGCGTGAATCGTGCCGGCATCGGGAATTAAACCGGAGACGAGCTTCCGGTTATCACTCTCAATCAAGTAGTCGATGTCTATGAGAGGGATTGGGATGGGATTAGGGTTTTTGACGAGGACATCAACAATAATGTCTGCTTTTTGGAGGTTGATGTGAGGGATGTGAATGGCGGTGACATCAGCCGTTGGCTTACCGAATCCAATGGTCTCCTCGATTTTCTCGCCAATGTCGTGGATGAAGTCCTTGACCTTGTCGATAAATCCACCCTTCTCTTCGTCTTTTTTGTCCTCTTTGTTGTCCCGATCCTTGACTTCCCGCTCGACTACTTTAGGGCTGTCGGAAGATGACATTTTTCTGTTTCTGAAGAGGAAAAGCAGAGGATTAGAAGTAAATTTGTTTGGTGCAAATCAAGAATGAAGAAGGTTAACAAACAAAACGGCAACTTTTGTCTATTACAACTGAAAAATGACCCGAGACTACTGATGTTACAACCAAAAGTGGCGTCGAGAAGAATTAACATAGAGTATACCTTACTGATCCATGGATTAGTATAGACACAACATCAGATAACAAAATGTAGTTACAAATCAAACATATAATTTCTGTTTACAAACCTACAGAAAATGTGAGAACACCAAATGCAAAATGGATACAATACAGCCAAAACTCAATCCCAGGTTGCAAGATTTGGCAGATAGAAATACGAGTCTGGTTTACGATGATCAGGTTTTGGTGAAGACAGAGCACGGACTAATCTAACTTAATTCTCAGAGAATCAAACATGGGGAATGATTGCCGTAAAACGATATCTCAAGATGCATCGAAGACTTGCAATAAGAAAAAAGGTACTCCAATGTACCTGACAAGTAAGAAAAAGGTCTTTTTGTTTATTTCAATCCCTGTAAGATCTATTTAGATCCCAATTATACGATACTCAGATCTGCGCAATTGGTTAAAAATGATATAGTTTATTCAAATAGTAACTGAAAGATGGTTAAACGAAAAGGGGGAAAAGATCAAGACCGCTGAGTGATCTATGAGAAGCCATGAGCAAAAGTAAACTCAAGAAAATTGCTAATGCAAGATCAAAATCGTCACAAAATTAAAAAGGGAACAAAAAGGAACGATCTTTGAACCCTGAAGAAAAAACCCACGGAGACAGATAATCATACAATCAATAGAGAAACAAAAAAGAAGGATCTTTCAACCCGAAAACCAAAAACCCATGACGACAGATTTCATATAAAAAAAACAAAGGAAAAATCAATGGTGAGGACAATTACCAGTAGAGATCTGTGAGAGCAAATCACACAGCAGAACGTAGACAGGAAGAGAGAGATTTTCTTGTGGTTCAGCAAAATTATGAGTAAATACAGAGGAGGATTTAATGCAGAGTGTGGAGCTGTTGAAAATGATGCAACTGATTTGCGGACAGGACAAGACGTGGCGTCCTTGACGCGGAGTCGACTCGTTGCGGTCTTGCCAATCACGGAGGTCACTTGTTCACTACTACTATATTTACAACTAATACGTAACTCGTGACGTAAAATTTAGAAGAATAATATACCCTCACGTGCATTAGGATCGAAATTGAAATCATTAAAGTACATAGAAACATTGGTGAATCATAAAAAAATTCGGTAACAATCATATATTATTAAAAACCTTCTTGTACACAACATTATGAGTTTGATTATTTGGTAACTCCTCATTATCACAAACTAATATTTTCAAAAGAGATAAATCCTAAAAATCAAACTAATATTTTTTGTTAACAAACTAATATTTTAGGATTGGTGAACAAACTAATATTTTAGAATTTCTAGGATTTGTCTCTTTTTGGTGAACAAACTAATATTTTAGGATTGATTATATGAATAAGGCTAACTGTTTTTGGTGTTCTTTTCATTCATTTTTATTCAAACAATCCGATGACTTGTATAATGAAATCCAAATCTTAAGCCGAAATATTTAAAAAAAGAGTTCTTAAAAATTGAAAAGTCAAGACAATTAGTTCAGGTTAATTAAAAGTCAAAGAATATCCGCTCCTTGAAATAAAAACGTGTGCTATCATTAACCAAATATCCGGTTATTGATATAGAGTGGTCACCAAAAAATAGAATTGCGATAAGGACGCTTCATGGAAATATCAATGGGATAAGGTCATAACCGGTCGCTATACATTTTAACGATAAAAGCTCAGATGGAATGATTTATAATAATTATGTCGTAATTAATGAATTAATTAGATGTGTGAAAATGATATAATTAATGATAAGTGTGAAAAGGACATAATTAATGAGAAGTATGAAAAGGACAAAAACTTACCAGTTTTGAAAAATATTTAATGCAAATCCGACATTGACCATAATTTGACCTACTATTTTGGATAAATGTTAATTCTTATTATATAACTATAGATATATAATACTTCATAAAAGATCAAGACTCCGAGAATTTTGAATTGTTTTACAAATGAATTCACTCGAATTGAAAAATAGTCGTTGGCTATTTGACTTTGTTCGAACCGAAATAAAACGCACAAAGAATTGGTACGATTTTAATGATTTTATAAATATTTATACCGAAAACCGAACCTAGGGCTGACTCTAGCATTGGACAATGACCCAGGACCCAGGCCAGAGCCCAATTGAAAATCTGACTTTATTTTTACCACGTGATTTGAACTTACTTGCAAGTTTACGATGGAGCAACTTTTAATTGCATCCTTACCAATTGCATGACATTCAATTGTAATGATGCAAGATGTCAATTACCAAAAATCATATGCCCCACTCCTCCTTAAATTACGGAAGTTATGGGATTTCAGATTTACATTACATAAATAATAATAATAATAATAATAATAATAATAATAATAATAATATATGGTAAGTTTATATATCCTACAAATTAGGAAGATGTTCAATTCAAATGGAAAGTTAAAGAATTTGAATTTCAAACGAAATCATCTTCTAACTATATACAAAATACAAATTAAAGAATTTGAATTTAAAACGAAATCATCTTCTAATTATTAGTGTTAGTATATTTTAAGTACAAAAACTAGTATTTAATCATGTGTATTTGTGCAGACGTAAATAAAGTAGTACAAGTTATTTATATGCCTATAATATTAAAATTATAAGTTAGATAATAGTATTATATTTTAAAATTTGATCATTGATTAAATAAATAATAAGTAACTATTTAATTGTATATGAATTACTATATTGATTGCATAAAATGTGATAAATAATGGTTCATATGCAATCATTATATTAATTATCTCTCAAAATTACAAATATTACATTATTTATTACATTTTATGCCATCAGTATAGTGGTTCATATGCAATCAAATAGTTACGTACTATTTATCTTAACCAATGATCAAATTTAAAAACATAACACCATTATATAACTTATTATATTAACTATTATATGCATAAATATAATTTATATTTATAATATTTGTAATAATTATACTTTCCAAACCTCATAAATATAAAGAGTTTATACATCTTGGGAAAGAGCACGCTACAAAGTGGCTACGGCTTCACGGAGGAAAGTCGGGCGGATCTTTCCCTCTCCTTCCCGTGCTTTCAAAAGCTTCGCACCCTGAAAATCTCCCTTCAGAGTCCTTCATGACTCGGAAACTTGTATTGTAGACGTCGGACATTTACAGAATAATGTAATATTGGTAATTTTGAGGAATCATGATCAATTAATTTGCTAGAAAAATATTAAATTTATTATATCAATTGCTTATGTGATTGTAAGGGATTTTACTATGACATTAAAATAAATTAGTTTATTTAAAAAATAATTGTTTAATTAGATAAAAAACTATAATATTAATTTTAGAATAAATAGTTTGAACAAAAAGTTTTACAATATTACGTTTATGTAATTTTCATATATATTTAGTATAAAATATAATTACTAATTCTAATAATAACTATTATATAATACAATAAAAAATATAATTAATACTCAATTAATGTAAAATGTAACGGATTGCTAGCAATCAGATGTCATACTTATTGATTAATATTTATTATATCGTCTTTAATCATAACATTTTATCTCATCTCATTCAAAACCTAAAGTTTATCTTACCTTTTTAAATCAAATTTGTTTCCACCTTTTCATCTCACTTTTTTAAAATCTAAAGTTTATCTTACTTTTTAAATCAAATTTGTTTCTACTTTTTCATCTCACGTTTTCAAGAGAATCGTTTTATTATTTTTTTATTTTGATAAATATCTTATATTCAATTGCATCCTAGTATCTTGAGTCAAACTATATCTATTAGGGAAAAAAAAAAAAACTATATCTATTAGGCTATTCAATTAATGTATTTTTTTTGTTTTTTGTCCATTTTTTAATTAATTATGATAATAAATTATTGTATATAGTAATTGAAGTGTAATCATATTTTTTAGGAATATATATGTTCACTACAGAAACTAGTTAATCATAATTCAGATTAAAACGTTAGATTGAAAAAACGTCAGTATTAAATAGCTAATTATATTATAAAACTCTGTCTTCAATGTATTTATTCTAGAATCAGTAGTTTTTTTTTTTCTTTTGCATCTCTTCAAGAGTTTGGCATATAATCAAATGCTTTAAAAAGAGAGGATTAAAACTTTTTTTAGGGTTCGTCTAAGATCTGCAAAAATCTTGATCAGCATGGAAAATCAGCCAGCGAAAAGAAAAAAATATTGTCCCAACTCCGGTGACGGCAGAATCTCCGAACTGCCACAACCCTTATTGCACAACATTGTCGCTTTCCTCTCCCAAGAGGAGGCAACCAAAACTTGCGTTTTGTCCAAATCATGGCGTTCTATTGGCCCTACTCGCCCTAAGATCGAGTTTAATGAAATGTGCTATGAAGAGAACCATAAAAAGTTCCTATCCAATTTGGACAGTACGCTACAAGTTTACCGTGGCCGGGAGATTTGCTTGCAAGAATTTATATTGTGTGTGAGCAAAATTAATACTAAATCTGTTTCTCTTCTTGAAAAATGGTTCCCGATCGTCTTGCTCGATATGGGCGTTAAGAGGTTCCATCTGATTTCCACCTTGAGCTACTTTGCTTTGCCGTCGATCGTCTTTGAAGCTGAAACCCTTGAGGAATTGCATCTCAAGAGATGCAGAATTGAATCTGTTGAGAAGGTACTTTCATGGCGTCTGCGTAACCTTTCCTTCTGTAAGGTCGACATTGAAGAAGAACATTTGCAGAAAATAATGTCGAGGTGTCCCCTGATCGAACACTTGGCCTTTGATACCTGTCATGGTTTCACAACAATTGAGGTTCAAAATAATAATCTCAAACACTTTGAATATTTGGAAGGGAATGTAGATGTCACTATCAAAATCTACGCCCCAAATGTAGAGAGCATACGTACTGTGGGAAATGCTAGTTGGCTTCACCATGGGAAGACCTTCCCTTGTCTCACGTCCCTGCGTCTCGATCGATGCAGAATTGATTCCGTGGAAAATGTGCTTTCTTGGCATCTACGTAAAGTTTCCTTCTGTCTGGTCCACATTGAAGATGAACATATGCGGAAGATAATGTCGAGTTGCCCCTTGATCGAACACTTGGCCCTTGATGCCTGTCGTGGTTTCACAACAGTTGAGGTTCATAATGATAATCTCAAACACTTTGAATACAATCATTCGTCTGCCTGTTTGGAAGTCACTATCAAAATCGACGTGCCAAATATAGAGAGCATCAGTATTGTGGGACGTGCGAGTTGGCTTCACCATAGGAAGACCTTCACTTGTCTCAAGTCCCTGGTTCTGGAAAATGTGGTTCTCACCCAGAAGGACTTCGATAGCATCTCGGTTAATTTTTGCTGTCTTGAGGATTTGAAAATACACTTCTGCAGCGGCTTTGAAGAATTCCAGCTCTCAAGCCGTTCGGTTAAGCGGTTGCATCTTGCAGTGAATGGCCCCACCAAGGCAGCTATTGACCTCCCGAATATACTTTCTTTTGAACTGTTATGTGATGATTCCCCCTCAATCACGTTGACAACGAATTCCAGTGAGTGGAGGTCACTCATACTCTTGAAGCGTGAACTGATTACTAATAGTGACACAGCGTTGTTGTTTGTCAAGTTAAATGAACTGCTTAGGGCATTGAATCATTCTAGGATTCATCTGCACATGAGGGATCTTCCTCTGGAGGTACCAAATGGCTATGGGGGTTTTGGAGAACCTGCCGTGATTGAAAGCTTGGCCTTTTCTTACCGTCATCCTTGTTCTTCCCTCGAAGCTTTTTTAAATTATTTTTTCGGCAGCTTTCGGCCGAGATACATAGAAGAGTCTTTCTATCCTCGTTCAGAGGCTGAAGAGGATGAAGATAACATGGATGCTTATCATGCATATGAAGAGGAGAATTATCGCTTTCAAGAATGGTATGCTGCCGCTCGAGCGGCTCAACGGCATGGGCTAGAAGATGAATACATGGATTTGCCAGCATATCCAGAGACCAACCCGTATGGAGAAGAAAATGAACTAATTGATCGTTTGTGGATCTTTCTCATGAAGAAAGAAAGGGAGGACCGCATTTGGCAGCAGGATTTAGAGGAAGTAAGTGTGGAGACCTATGGTCGAAATGGAGTCGAATGGCGTTGTGTGCAAAGTGAGAATTTATCCCAATTGGAGTTGCCGAACAATGATGATCAAAAGATACGCTTTCAACTGAAATGGAGAGAGCGAGTCATCATGCCTAGTTAGTATGAGTATGCATCGTAATGCTTGAGATGCTTCTTTTGCAAGTAATTAGTTTAAGCAACATGTGGTTTTGTAAATAATTAGATTAAGTAACTTGTGGCTTTGGTAAGTAATTCTAATGCCTGTTTTTTATTATCTACCGTATGGGGAATTAAACTTAGGATTATATATATTGCTGTATGTTCATCCTTTTGTGTTTCCATCTTCTTCTTTAATTTCTATTGTCAGTTGGGCATGTTTCTTGTTATATTCTAACAGTTTCAGGAGGCTATTCTCCTCGGGTTCAACTTAGTCAATTTTCATGGGAGTTGTACATAATTTGCTGCTCAGCAACAATTAACATCCAGTAGAAGTGTATGTGTTGCGATTTCTAGTGATATGAGCGTGGTTGTTATCAATTTTTTCGGTTGGACTCTATACCCGAAAGTTCTTCTTGCAATTTCTCTACATTATATCATTACATTCTTTAGTCGAACTGGTAAAGATGGGGTGGCTTTCTCTTGGAGGTGTACTACTGTCCATAACAGGTAGGTAGAATAATGTTATCCTTTCCCCATTATGTAAATCCAATGTGCAAAAGCCTTCATGTATTCTTGGTGCGGATGATAAAATTGCCCTATTTTTAATTCGATGGCTACCGTTTGTGGGTTATCAGGTAATGAAGCAATGTCTGCAGATCTTGGCCATTTCTCTGCATGTGCAATAAGAGAAAGCCCAAATCTTCGTAATTGAGTGGAGTATTTTTGTTTTAAAAAGACTTAATGATAATTTAAAAATCAATAGGCTACTGTATGATAATAAAAGTGCTACTGTATGATATTTTGCAGTTCTATCTGGCAAACTCCTGACCTGACGAGAAGGGGTAGCTCAATTGGTAGCACCCTTCACTTGAGACCAATAAGTCACGAGTTCGAGTCACTCAAGGGAGTAACTGGGAACCATTAATGATCCTCTTTTTTTCATTAAAAAAAAAAAAAAAAAAGTAAAAAAAAAAAAAAAAAAACTCCCGACCTCTCTAATACTAGCGTATCAGAGCTTTTGGTGGTTTGTGGAAGACTTGAGCACTTCACCACTCTATGTTTACCGCAGCATATTTGTAGGTAAGGTTAAGAATCATCAGAATCCCGAAATGATATTTGGGGTATTTTCGTTAATCTTTTGGACCACAACTCTGATACCTTTGCTCAAATACATATTTATCATTCTGAGTGCTGATGAAATGGTGAAGGTATGCCAAATTCAGCAGACTATAGACCAAGTCATTCCATCATTCCGGATAAACCTATGGAATCTCCTTAGGAGGGACGTTTGCTCTTTACATCAACTAAAACAATCAATCATCAAGTATTCTCTAAATTATCAACTAAAACAACCAATCATCAATTATTCTCTAAAATTATCAATTATCCAATAGTAATAACTGCCAAACACGACACAAACAACACTCATTGTTTCACACACCCAACAAGCTGATAAAACAGAAGTAGAAACAGAGGACGAATGTCAGAGTATATGAGGAAATTGATTTGCCTTGAAAGTAGCTCCGTTACAGAAAGTCTCAAACATGGCCATAAGGCCGCATGGCGTAAATTCAAAGGTTAAATTAAAAAGAAAAAAAAATTGTTCATGTATTTAAGTGAAGTTCCAGTTGTTATCCCAGACGACAGAAGACGGACACAACACAACAAAGCTTTTCCAAGACGATGGGTGGAAGAAAATGCACATTAATTCTTGAGGTGATGCTCAAATAGAGATGCCATCTCAATCTGCCAAGTGAACCCAATAACAGAAAATGAGCAGTGAGCACTAATCATTGAGGTTATGCAAACATAAACATAAACATGAACAATGATGACATACACATTTATAGGGGTAGGCTATTGCCACCAATCAAGCAAAGACAAGGTAAGAAATGAAGCACAAAAGATCTGTAGTGGGCCAAGAAAAACTTTACAAGAGGGAAAAGGAAAAAGAAAAGAAAAAGTAAGGGAAACAATAAGTTGTTCTAATAGAATTTACACCATTTGAGGGATTAAGTTTATCTTTTAATCATCGAGTTGAACCAAAAGGAGAAAGAATGCAGATGTACAAGTGTGTATAGTTTAAATAAACATCAAACAGAAAACACCGTTGATGCTCCAAGGGCTGCATGGAGACCCAGTTTTCAGTTGTGTACAGAACAGCATAATTTTATATTTTCTGTTTCGAGCTTTTTC